TTAAAAAAAAAAAAAAAAAAAAAAGGGTATGTATTGAAAGTAAGAAAACAAAATCTATAGATATACACTATGCAAGACAGCCTGTCAGAGACTGAGTTCTAATTCCTAGAGTTCATCTTTTCCCTAAACTATTAACGTCAGCAGCTACTAAACAGAACCTTATTTACTTGCTTTCCAAGTAAAAATTAGAATGAAATTAGGATATCAGGAGGAGGAATTCCAAAATTCTAGTGACATCTTTGCTATGCATCTGTGGATTTGCCGTAATCCGATTCACATCTTCTGTCCCCAGCCTTCACACTGCTCCCAGGACATTTTCACTTACTATCTCCATTAAAGGGGAAAATAAACACTGTAGAATGTAAGGAAGCTTCTTAAAGAAACCTTACTTGTTTTCAAACTTGCAGTGGAGCAAATGACAGGCTGTGGATCCTCCGTAGAGTTGGGGATAGGCCCATACTGAGTAATATATCACAGCTTTCTGGTTCACAGCTCCACTTGAGGAAGGGCACTGCATTTTATCCATTTCTGAGGTAGTTCAAGTCAGTCTCTGAGAACAAAGCAACTGTGTACACTTGGCTATGTGGAGCCATGAAAGATTAAGGTCCTGAAGCTGAGGTGTAGCTCAGTGATAGGGTGCTGGCCCAGCATTCATGAGGCCCAGCACCACAAGCAAGGATAAAATGATCAGAGGTCAGGAGCTTGCATTGCCTACAGTGGGATGCTCCTTTTTCTGCTAAGAAGTTTCCAGGATCTTAGGAACAGTACGGGCTGGGGAGTTGGCTCAGTGGTTTAAGCACTTGTAGGGCAAGTCTTCAGTTCAGATCCCCAGAACCCATGTAAATGCTGGGTATGCATGGCTGCCCACTGGTAATTCCAATCCTCAGAAGGTAGGGACAGGAGATCCCCTGAGCAAGCTGGCTAGTGAAACTAGCCATTTCAGTGAGTTTGATTGAGAGACCCTGCATCAGTGAATAAGGTGGAAGACTGACTAAGGATGATTCCCAGCGTTAACCTAGAGCCTCCACATGCACATACATACTTGCACGACATGTATACCCACACACATGCAAAACATGCATACCACATACACATGAAAATGGAAATAATAAAAGAAAAAGGAAAAATAAAACAGGGATGGTAATAGCTACCTCCAGGGTTGCTTGGGGTTCAAATGAGTACCACAAATATGAGTTTTTGTCATCTTTTAAACTTCCAAAGCACTAGTCAGACCTGTTTTTATTTAGTCCTCTCGGCAACCTTGATGGCCATAATGGAGTGAGTCCCATCTCTGAAAAATTGAAATAGACCTTAGAGACATCATGGAGGTTCCACAGGTACCCATGAGTCTAACCTGAACTTGAATGTTTGAATTCCAGTCACGGGCCTCTTTCCTAGGGAGCCCCACCAGGGATGTAAAGCAGACACTGACATTTGATGCATAGATGATTAGACTTCCAACTAAACACCATACCTCCCCCCTCTTCCATGTTACTTGAATCTTGCATTGGCTTAAAGTGTTGTCTAAGGATGGTGGGAAGCATCAGCCATTGTTTTAGATAAGCTAGCCTGCCTTCAAAGTACGGAAATTTATTTGGCTGGTTTTAGCAAAAAATAAAAAGCAGCTGGGCATGGTGGGATACACACTTGTTATCCCAGCATTCGCGAAGCAGAGGCAGAGGATCTTGAGCTCAAGGCTAGCCTGGGCTACACAACAAGCCCCAGTTTCTAAGTAAATAAATGGACAAATAAAAAAAAATTTAAAAAGGAGTTACTTCCCAGAATATAGGAGTACGTCGTGGAACCCAAGGGCAGGTAGGAAGCTCAAAGTGAGAGCAAGAATGTGGGGTGAGGCTGCCTTTTGTCCATCTCCCCTGGGCAGTGTGACTGCTTACCTGTTTGTTTCTTACCTGTCTCTTGATGGAATTTCTGATATCAGGGACACCTGCTAGTGTACCATCTAGTGTTTATGGAGCACCTACTATGTGCCAAGCTGTTCAAGTGCCCTTCTCATATTGACTCACCCATGCTTCCCAACAACCAGTGAGGCAGGACTAGAGTGATCCCCATTTTCTCATCCCACAGATGAGAAAAGTGAGGCAAAAAGTGAAGTGACTTGGGTGAGATAACACAGCCTTAGGTCACACAGACTCAAGTGGTCTGGCTCTAGGCTCCCTGCTCTTTGCCACTACTGTGCCACTCTGCACTGGAGAGTTCAAGATGGCCCAATAGGGACCAACCAGCCTATGAAGCCCTGCTCCAAACTCCCTGCAGAGAGCCTCTATACCAGGTGCCCACTCTCCCACTTCCTGGTACATCCCTGGTCTGTTCAGCTGCATCAAAAGGGAAAGGTGTGCTATAGAAGTAGTAGCAGGGGTGATGAACTATTCCAGTTTGCCAGAGGCTGCCCTGAATGCAGGATGTTAAATGCTAAAGCAGACTGACTTGAGCATGTCAGGATGATCACCCTGCACAGTTTTAAAGGACAGTTCTTACAGAATGGAAAAGACAGTCTAGAAGGTGAGATGGCCTCATCAGGGACTTCCACCCCACTCAGCCCTCCTGCTACAAGGAGCAGCTTCTCTGCTTTATCTGGATAGATGAGCCAAGCCAGGATAGTACAAAACTAGGCTTCTCAAGGGCAGGGAATGCAGCACAGTGGTAGCTCATTTCCCTAGTGTGCACCAGGCCCTGGGTTCCATCCCCAGCACCACAAGAAACAAACACAAAATCTACCAGGTATGGTGGCACAAGCTTGTAGTCCTAGCACTTGAGGAGCTGAGGCAAGAAAATCACAAGTCTGAGGCCATCTTGGGACACTTAGTGAGTTCCAGGTCAGCCTAGGTGACAAAATGAGACTCTGTCTCAAAAAAAGCAAGAACAAAACAAAGCAAACAAAACCTCCAAGGGTCTCTATAGACATATTGTGCCCCAGCTGCCAAAAGGAAAGTTCTAGCAATGACTGAAAGAAAAGCTTTGGACAGGTAAGGCATGGGATTGGAGAACCTGTTTCTGGACAGCAAACAAGCTGAAACAGGGAGCCAGGGCAAGTCAAGGGGGATCAGACAACAGGAGCCTCTCTGGTAGGGTAGAGCAGTGTCAGGGAGTCAAAGGGACATATGCCCAGAGCATATGCCCAGAGTGGTGGGCACCAGAAGTTCAGCAGCAAGTCACCAGGGCCTGCCTTTCTGCTGTGCTCTAGAACTACGTCCTGTGGGCACTAGTTGCAGAATCCTCTTTGAATAATATATGTACCAGTTACTTTTCTTGTTGCTGTGACAAAAAAGAAAAAAAACCAACAGAAACAACTGAAAGGAGGACAGATGTGGTGATTTGAATGCAGATGTCCCTCATAGGCTCAAAGTATGTGAGTACTTGGCCCCAGTTGGTTGGTACTGTTTGGGAGGTGTAGGGGGTATAGCCTTGCTGGGGGAAGCAAGTCTCTGGGGACTGGCTTTGAGAGTTCATAATCTTGCCCCACTCCCAGTTGTTCTCTTCCAGCTTCCTGTGAGTGCTTAAAGATGTGAGCGCTCGACTTTCTGCTCTGACTGCCTCCTGTCATGGCTGCCCCACCATGATGGACTCTTATCCCTCTGGAACCATAAGCCAAATAAACTCTTCCTTCTATAAGTTGCCTTGGTCATGGAATTTTATCACAGCAACAGAAAAGAAACTAATACAATGGGTTTGTTTGGCTCACGGTTTTAAAAGGTTCAGTCCATGGTCACTCAGCTCCATGTACTTGGGCAGAACACCATGGAGGCAGGAGTGTGTGCCTGGGGTTGTTCTTTTCTTCTTGATGGACAGAAAGCAGAGAGGGAGTGACAGGAAGCAGACAAGAGGCCCCCAAGGACCTGCCTCCCAGTGACCTGCTTCCTTACAGCAAGGCCTTACCTTGTAAAGTCTGGGATGTTTCCAGAACATCCCCAAATAGCCCCACCAGCTGAGGACTTAGGTTTTAACACACGAGCCTGTGGGGAACATTGCATAGTCAAACCATAACACTATATAACTTAACAGAGAAATTTTGTACCATCAAAGCCAAGCCAGGAAAATGCTCAGCTTAGTCATGGTACACTAATTACTAGAAAACAACCCTGGCTGTGAGTGTTAAGTCTACACAGCATGAGAAATACAAGCTGGAAGACAAATGGTGGGTTGAAATTGTCTTCCAGACCTCAAAGAACTCTCTATCTTAACTTGAAAATAAATGCCACAATTAAAAGTCTTAAAATGCTCATTCTTTTGTATGTCTGTATGCATGTATAAATGTATGTACACATGTGTATATCTGTGTATATGTGTGTGTGTGTGTGTGTGAAGAGTATATGCTCATGGTTGATGTTGGGTGTTTTCCTCTATCATTATTAATATTTACCTTTTAAAAAAATTATTATTCAACATATTTTATTTTCTGAAGTTTATCATTTTTACAGAACAGAACAACCCAAAAAGCAGGTATCAAAAGCAGCAAAGAGGTTCTGGAATTTCTGCATCAGTTTTCACAAAAGCCAAGCCATTAAAATCTCAGAATATTAAGTTCAGATCCATAAACAATATATATTATATGTTTCACTTAGTGGTTTTTTTTTTTTTTTTTTTTTTTTTTGGTCTCCCTATAGCCCCAGCTGGCCTGGAACTCCCTATGTAGACCAGGCTGGCCTTGAACTCACAGAGATCCGTGAACTCACAGAGATCTGGCTGCCTCTGCCTCCCAAGCACTAGAATTAAAGGTGCATGCCACCACGCCCTGCTTCACCTTAGTGTTTTTTTAATTTAAAAAAATTGTTTATTTCTATTTTATCTGTATGAATGTTTTGCCTGCATATATGTAAGTGCACCATGTGCTTGCAGTGCCGACAGAGACCAGAAGAGGGTGTTGGATTCTCTGGAATTGGAGTTACAGATAGTTATTAGCTGCCATGTGGGTATTGGGAACTCAATCCAGGCCCTCTTCAAGAATAGCAAATGTTCTTAACCACCAAGCTATCTCTCCAGCCCCTTTCTTAGTGGTTTTTTTTTGTTGTTTTTTTTAAGAAACCGAAAAAATGCCACATAGTAGAAAACTGTTTACTCTGTTGGAGGAATGAAATATGTCTCAAAAAAAATGACCAGTAGCTTATAAAAAGTAATAATTATAAAGAAGCCAAACAAATCACCTGAATGTATATGACCAAGAGAAATCAGCCTGTGTATTTAGTATTTACAGAAGATGCCGGTCTCATAATCCAGCTTGTTTTTTTGAGACAGGGTCTCTCACTGGTCCTGGAACTCACTAATTGCTGGCCAGCAAGCCCTAGTCTTTCCATCTTTGCCTCCCAGTGCTGGGGTCACAGGCATTCACTACTGTTCCCGACTTTTCATGTGGATACTGTGGGTAAAGACTTGGGTTCTTATGCTCACATGAAAAGTACTTTATCCACTGAAAATATTTGTTCTTTTACACCCTGCTTTTTTGTTTCTGTTATTGTTTTGGTGTGTGTGTGTGTGTGTGTGTGTGTGTGTGTGTGTGTATCTGGATGTGTGTGTGTGTGTTTGAGATAGGGTCTCACTTTGCAGCCCTGACTAGCCTGGAGCTCACTATGTAGACTGGCCTCAAACTCACAGAGATTCACCTGCCTCTGCTTCCCAAGTGCTGGGACTAAAGGCGTGCGCCACCACGCCCAGCTAAAATGCTTGTTCTTAAGCATAATTGGCTCAATTGTTCTTTTCTAGGATTCCATATGAAGGAAGTAATCTTAAATTCAGAAGAGGCCAAGCCTGATATACACACCTGTAATCCCAGTGGAAACTTAAGCATCAAAAGTTCAAAGCCATTCTGAGCTGCCTAAGGAGACCTTGACTCAAAAACACAAACTACAGGCAAGTCTTATCTATAATGATGTCCACCATACAAGTATCCCTATTTATAGTTCATCAAATAAACAAATCACTTGAAGAAATAACATGTGACTATCCTCAGCTATGGTTATAGACTGGTGGAACATATTTAATGTATAAAATTTCATGTAGAGTAAGAAGACAGTACAATGAACAAAAGCCAGAATGCATGTAAGGTCAGTAGGGGAGGACCGCACTCACACGTTCTGTTGATGGGAATTTAGGGGCTTGATTTTCCTTTTCAAAATGTACATTTATAATTTTTTAAATATTTTATTTATTCTTTTTTATTTTATGTGTATGAGTGTATTGCCTACATGTATGTGAGTGCACCCATGTCGTGCAGTGCTGCAGAGGTCAGAAAAAGGCTTCAGATTCCCCTGGAACTGGAGTTAAGGACAGTTCGTAGCCCCCGTATGAGTGCTGGTAATTGAACCTGGGTCCTCTGCAAGAGCAGTCAGTGCTCTTAACCTCTGAGCCATCTCTCCAGTCCCCCTTTTTAAATATTTTATTATTTTTATCTGATGTGTATGAGTGTTATGCCTGCATGTAGGTAAGTGCTCCCATGTCGTGCAATGCTCGCAGAGGACAGAAGAGGCTGTAGGATCCCCTGGAACTGGAATTACGAACAGCTGTTAGCTGTCATGTGGGTGCTGGGTTTCAAACCCAGGTCTTCTGCAAGAACAACCAGTGTTCTTAACAGCTGAACCATCTCTCCAGTCCCCACATTTATAATTTTTACAACTAAAAGCATTGCTCGTAGAGCTGGAGAGGTGCCTCGGGGGTTAAGAGCACCAGCTGCTCACACAAGTCCTGGGTTTGGTTCTCAGTATCCACATGGCAGCTCACAATTTTCTATTACTTCAGTTCTAGAGGATTCGACAACCTCTTCTGGCCTCATGGTGCACTTATACACATGCAGGCAAAACACGCATACACATAAACAAAAATAAACAAATCTTTTATAAAAGGTGCTGTTGAGGCTAGAAAAATAGCTTAGCCTGTAAAAGCACTTGTTGCCAACCCTGACAATCCAAGTTCAATACCCAGAACCCACATGGTGGAACCCATTCCTGAAATTTGTCCTCTGACCTCTAACATACTTACTGTTACACATGCATACCCCACCTCCACATCTCTCTCTCTCTCTCTCTCTCTCTCTCTCTCGCTCTCTCTCTTTCTCTCTGTGTGTTTCCATACACACACACACACACACACACACACACACACACACACACAAGCACATGCAACTTAAATTTAAAAAAAACATTGTGGGCTGGAGAGATGGCTCAGCAGCTAAGAGCACTGGCTATTTTTGCAGAGGACCTGGGTTTGATTCCCAGCACCCATATGGTGGTTAACAACTGTCTGTAACTCCAGTTCTGGGCGAATCCAATGCCTTCTTCTGACCTCTTCTGGCATCGCACAACACAGCTGCACTTTCACACATGCAGTCAATACACTCATATATATATACGCATAAAAAATAATTTTAAAAAACATGGCTCTTGGCACCCCTCAAGATAGACTGTGCCCCTTATCAGAAGGTATGTAGGACAGGATTCTGGAGTCCCCACTGTCAATTCTACCTTGACCTTCACCAACCTGCCTGGAGAAAGGATTTCTCTACTTACTGTGTTTGCTGGCAATGTGAAGTTTAGTGAAAAGCTCTATAAAAGAGAAGGAAGCATTAAAACTCCAGGAATGGCTAGCCACCTCCTAACCCCCTGCCTCCAAGCCTGACCAGCCCTGGCAAAAGATCTACCAATGTCATGTGGGTTCATCTGCCCCGTTCAGGACTCAGTCTTGGCCCCAGAACAAGGTAAGCAGAGGAACCTGAGGTGACAGTGAACTGCTTGCTTGGTAGTAAGCCTTTTCTCCTCCTCCTCTTCCTCTTCCTCCTCCTCCTCACCAGCCAGGGTTAGACTAAGGGACTCAGCAAGGTGTTGGAAACGTCATCTTCTCAGAAAAACTTTCAAGAGGAGAACTGTGCATAATATTTTCAGTTTGGAGCAGAAGTGAGCCCTCCTAGGGGGCATGGTCCAACCCCTGACCCTTCAACCACCTTCCTAGGAGAGTTAACCTGAGAGAGATCAGGCTGCCAGTTTTCCTAAGTATGAGATGAGGCTCTGGCTGGGAGCTGAGCTGGTCAGGGTGGCAGAGAAGCGAACCTGTCCCTGTGCTCCTGGGTCTCACTGTGCTGGGCTCCCTCCTCCCCATTGTGTGGAATCAATACCTAGACACCTAGATGTTCTGCCCCACAAGGTGCCAAATTCCCTGCAGGAGCCTCTTCCCAGGTCAGGTCCTTCTCAGGCCTCTGGTGGTGGCTCCTCTCTGCTCCCCATCCCCATTCATCACTCCAGTTTGGGTTAGTCAGTGTATCTTTCCAGGCTGTTTTATCAAGCCCCTTCCCTGCTGATGGGAACAGTGGGTGGACCCTGCTCTGGCTTAGCCAGTGGCCCTCCCTGGTTCTGCACTCCCAAGGCTGCACTTCTTTCTATTTTCTGGACTTATTTCAGCCATCCTGATTTCTGGTCCCCAGCTGGGCCCTCTTTCAGCCTCATCTCCTTGACACCTGGGCTTTGCCTACCCTCCAGGCCTTGATTCCTGCAGCCCCCCCCCAAGACTGGGTCTGTCACTCTATCAGCAATGAATTTGCTAAGTTTTAACATGAAATGTTTTCCAACAATAGGAATATCAAGAAGCGGGACTGGCAAGGTGACTCATAGGCCTGCTGGATTGAGTTAAATCCCCACATAAAGGTGGAAGGAGAGAGCTGACTCCTCTGACCTCCACATGCCTACATAGCATACAACCCTGACCACCTACCACAACTCACACCACACACATAAATATACAAAAATAAACTAGAAATATTGAGTAGGGTTAAAGCATCCCAAAGAATTGTAATATATCAGGCTTGATGTACCTCAAAGGTCATTTCATACCTCCAAACCTCATTGTACAGGGAGAAGAGTGAGAGCCAGGGACTCATCAGAAATTGTGTCATAAACAAATGAGAACCATTTTAGCTTCTCTCTGAAACTAGCAGATTGTCCTCATCTGTGGGACCACGATCCATCCTGAGGATGGTACCAGATCAAAAAACTCCACAGGTACAAAACTGGCAAAGCTAACTTACCTGTGAGTTGGAATTCAAGGGTCTAACGAATGAGAAAAATCCTCTGTGAACATGGTGTGTTTAAGAACTGACAACTTTACATCCTTCTGTTAAGATGCCCCAACCAGCTCAACAATGACTTTGCCCATGGCTCTGCCACTTAGTAACAGGGTGTCTTCCCTTTATAGGGAAGGCATCCATGACCCAAGATATGAATTAGTTGCCATATACCTAGTCAGCTATTACCAGATCCAGGGTCTTTTGGTGACAACCTCTTCCCACCATTGCACAAGGCTTTCCTGCCACTTCTCAGTTTCTGCAGGTGACTGGACATACCTCTTCTTCTGGGCAAGGGTAGCATCTGGAACTCTCAGGTCAGGGTCCTCTTGCCCAAGGGCTTCAACCACTGCCCTTCACACTGACCCCACCCAAACCTGCAGGTGCCATAAGAACACTTGCCGAGCTCTATGCTGGATGCAGCTGCCCAGGCTTAGCTCATCAGTGATGATGTCAGCAGGCTACAGACAAAGCTGCCTTTGGTAGGATGGTAGAAGAAGGCCACAGCAACAAACAGGCCTTTACATGCATTGTTTATCAACATTTGGATGACAAAGATTTTGGTCAATTTCAGAAAAACTTTCATATTTTCTAGAAACACAGCGCAGAGCTGTCACAGAGAGGAAAGCATGGTACGATGCCCTTTAGAGAAGCAGCTGGGTAGAGTGAGGCAACCTTGGGCTCTGAGCCACCTGGTTTGGGTTTGGGTACAGCCTCTGGAACTTGGAAGCTGTGTGGTCTTGGAGAAGACAAGCTTTCTGGTCTCCATCTCCTCACAGCCAAGCTATTCTGCCAGCCTAGCTCTTTTCAATCCTGGAGATGAGATACTATTAATTTGTCCCACCTACTTCCAAGGATAAGGGAAACACCATGGTAGCTCCTTCCTGTAAATACTCTGGGGGTGGGGTTGGGGAATCACAAGGTCTATCTGGCACAGAAGATGGGAAAGCCGCTTGGCAAGTTCTTGGATGGAATTGCAAGCGTTAGGTAGTGATATGCAAAGGGCCAGTATTTGATACAATTCACTAACTGCTAGTCTGAGCAGTGTCATATCTATGCAACAATTCTAAAGGTACTTTGCCTTTTCAGGGGCTGTGTGTCCCTCTTGAGTTTGCTGCTTGTGAAAGGGAAGGGGAACAATAACTGTCATTGATGTTGTTCTACCTCTCATGAGGTCGGTACTACTGTTCCTATGGCCCAGGTGTGGAAACCCAGGTCAAGGTGGCTTTCCAGGGGTCACCAGCTTGTCAGTGGTAGAGATCAGGTTGGGTCACATTCTTCTTAACTCCATACTGGACTCAACTCCTGCCAATTCCCATCCCTTCTCTCTTTGAATTCCACATGAGATCTGCAATATTTTGCATGTGGCATATTTCCTTGAACACAATGTCCTCCAGGTCCATCAAAACTGCAGCGAATGCCCAGCTCTCCTTTGTAAAGGCTGAGTAACATTCAGCCAGGAAGATTATATATGTTCACATGGGTATATGCACACATACATTGCATTATATCTTTTCAATACACACTCTACCATTTCTTTAGTAAATCCATCCATCGACTCATCCTAGATGGCTCCCAGAAAAGTCCACAAGCTTAAGTAGCTTCAAACCAAAAATGATCAAGTATATAACTTTCTTCAGTACATTCTTGAATGACTTGATCTTGGTGCAGAACGACTCTGAAGTTAATGAAAGAGTTGATCCATCATTTCAATTTAGCTTAGATACTTTGCAAAAACAAACCTGACTTCCGATCACAGGGGTAAATAAGCATGATTTGGCAAGTTTTGTTCTTAGTCTTTTACTTTGTTTCTCCTAGAACACATTCTAAGTTTATAACTAAGGTTTATAAATTAATGTTTATAACCAAAATCACCTTTTTATTGCATATATTATATTTATTATACAATATAGTATATTTTACTATATAGCTACCATTATAT